TAAAAACGTTTAAAAGTTTAAACAAAAAGAGGCAAAGCCTCTCAAAACAAATAAACAAAGCACACATAAATTGTGCACCAAAAAGTTTCATAATTTATGGCCCCACAACAATGTTCCTTGAGTAATTAGAATTTATATGAAAAAAACATTTTCCATGCCATTCGACAAACATTTGGAATGCCAACAAAAATGCTTAGTTTTGAATATTTTCATCCAACTGAGAGAGCCATGACAGAGGCAATCATTTTACCTTTTCCCTTGAGTGACAAACTAATTGGATTAATTGGATAAACCTATCCACTATTACTCTCAAAGCGACAAATTCCCAAAACCTGACGCTTGATGGATGGCCCACCGAACTTGTGGCTTCCTTGAACCGAAATGTGTCATCCGGTTTCGGCCAAAATTCTTAGGTAGGCCAGACTCGAAAACTTAAACTGGTGCCTTGTCGCCACGTCGAACGACGCTCTTGAAGCTGAAAATGCTTTAAATAATTTTAATTAAAACAAATGACACTCGAAATAAAACACGCACATCAAATGGGAGGGCTGGGCTGGGTCTAGGAGCCTAGGTGGGTGTGGGTGTGGGTTTGGGTGCTGGTGGATGGCCCCTGAATGAAACAGACATGGCGTGTAATTACGCTTGACATAGCGACTAGAAAGAGACAGAAGGGCGGATGATGGAGAGAGACAGGACGAAGCTTGTATGTGCATTGAATCAAGTGGTTGTTGTTGTTGCTGTTGACAATGCACGGCAGTAACATCAGAGGCCATGACACCAACACCAACATTAAGCCCAACAACAACATTAACTCTAGAATTACATTGAAAAAATATTTTACAATGAAATAATGGTATTTTTATGAAGAGCTTGTTTATATTGGTATTTAAGTATTTATATAGAATTAAGAGAATTTATATACCCAATCTAAAGTATCTTTTTTTATATTTAAAAGTATATTGTTCTCTACGATCTGTGTCTTTATAAAAACAAATTAACGGACACACGGACTAACTTACGTGATTAAAATATGACAACCATTTCCCTTTAGAGTGACCAACTTTAAAAAACATGAAAATAGTAACCTTTAGTTAAAACGGATTATACTTTTGACGCGCTTTTGTTTCTTTTGATTTGATCTTTAATTAGCTTAGTTATCTTTATTTCGATAATACCTCCTACCTAAGGTAGGTTTCCCTTCTTGACAATAGTTTAAAAATAATTTCATCAGGCTGTTGATTTTATAAGAAAAGATTTTATTTGGAAAATACAAACATTTGATATTTTTTGTCAGTGCACCCATCCTTTTTCAGGAAGAGCTCCGGGACGCACTTTGTTCGTGACAAGTTCAGACAAAGAGCAAACATGAAGCGGACAACTAGCAAACAACTTCACTTTGGGGCGATACTGTTGGCGGAGTTCTCGCGGCACTTTTCACGCCTCCCGATGGCACCAGCTTGCACACAATCAAACGGGCCCAGAAAATTGGCCAACTCCTACGCACCCCATGGCAGGAAGCGACCAGGAAAGCCATCTAAGCCCCCAGCAAACTCCGGGGACAAAAAACACAAACCCAATTGTAATTAGAGTTGAGAGCTGCCCCCTGGGAGGAGGTGAACTTCCTAAAATTACATTTAATCATTGTTATTTTAGGCAATGCCTCTCTTTCCCACTCCCTGTCTCGTTCTCCCTCTCTCTTTTTGGGGCTTAAGTGCCCCCGATGACCACGCCCTCAGCCCCTGCACGTAGATGTCACAAAATCCAAACAAATGTAGGTCCATATATACATACTTTCGTATCCGGGAGACTAAGGACATTTGATAAAAAGCCACTTAGTGTGGCATTTTGGGCCTCCTGCTCGTGGGAGACCAGACTGGATGTGCTGGAAAATCTCGGGAAGCTCCGGAAACTTCTGCAGAACCTCATCTCATCCATAACCCATTTGGTTGGCCGACGGGATTGGGGAGGCAGATCGGGCTGGGAGATTTTATGCCAAAGCATTTAACACTTTGGGCGTGCTACAGCTTGACAATATCAAAGTTGAGTGGCACAAGTGACAGGACGAGGACGAGGAGCCAGGGCGAAGGGATATCCTGCAGACTGGCAGCTCGAGCGGCAAATAAATAACGTTTAAAGCGTAAATATGGTAAACGAAAACGACGTTAACGGGCGCCTCAAGTGTCGGTTGTCGGCTGTCAAAGCCACAAAGAGGCATTGGCTCTTGGCCCATGGCTTTCGGATTTCTGATTTCAGCTTATGGCCGTTCACCCCACATCCTACGGTTGGCCCAAAGCCAAGCCAAATGCCAAATAATTATAATCAAAGTCATGCCCATAAATAATCAAGTTTTTGGCAGTGTATGTGAGTGTCCTCACTCTGAATGATTTTCACAGCCAATTACGTTGCACAAATTTTTTTTGTAGCATCATTAAAGCGACACTTGTTGATGGGAGGGAGCAGGAGCAGCTCGGAAGACGCTGTCAACATCCATTTAAGTTCCATTCTCAGCTTCTCCCAGCTGCCAAAGACACTTTCAATGAAAAAGCCAAGTCAGTGCGGGTGGCACTCTGCTCTGAAATTATTTCTTGGCATGCAAATTGCATTCGGGATTTTCTTTTCTGTTCAGCTGTTCAGCTGTCATCGCAGAATGGCGGCTATGCCGGCCAGTTTCTCGTTTCAGTTTTTTGGCAAACATTGAAAATTACTTTTCATATTTAATTGCGGGGGCCCGAGGCCCGGAACATGTGGCCAAATAGCAGAGCCGGAGTGCAAGCCAAATGCCACATTAAATTACATCAAAGTCAAAGCGAAATTCCGACCAACTTGCAATTGAAATTTGTTTGCCAACTCAAACACGAACATGGTTGGGTCCTTAGTCCTTAGCCTGGGCCCCCGAGAAGTTGAAAGTCGGAATTAGACGTGGCAAGCAAGTAATGGAGACACCCGAAAGGAAATGCTTATTATTTGCATAAATTCCAAAAGCCATGCTGAGTGACAGGAGGGCGAGGCAGGCATGGAGGGCTTTCTTGAAAGAAAGAAATGCAAATTTTGTTGCCAAATTTAAATGTCAGTCAACAATTCAGTTGTTAAACTCGCATTATACACAAAGCCAGGGCCCTGGCTATGCAGCGTGCATATAAAAAACTTGTTACTTTCCACTTTTTATTGGGAACTGGGTACTGCCTGGGTAACTTGTTACTCATACGCCCTGTGGTGCGTGGCGACCGGAAAGCCATTCCGCTTGGACTTTTGTCTCTTCTTAATCGAAAATCGTGCGTGACTTCTTAGCTGGGCGGCCAGCTTATCATTTTCCTCAGCTGGCTTTTTATTTTCTTCGGAAAGTGCAAAAAGTGGAAACTTTTTCGGCAACTTTTCACTTTTGTTCGGTGTATTGGCGCTCAGCTTTCGGTTTTGCCATTGGATGTCAATTTAAAGTTTCCTACGCTCCTGCCTTTTCATCTAACATTTTCCTGCACACATTCCTGGGCTTCTTTTTTGCCATTCTGCCATTTTTATGCCTTTTGTGTGTGTCCCGAAATAAAAGTTTTGCGGCAAAGTTCTCGCAATTGTGCGATAGTTTGCCTGAATCCTGGCTTTCTCCTAGCTGGCTGCTGGCTGCTGCATCCGACATAATCGATTCGCTCTTGCCTCTTCCATTTTAATAACTTTTTCAGGAACGGCGGCGGGAAAATAACAAGCACTGCAACAATTACGTGCTGCAAGTGCAAGAGCAGCAAACAACCGGCAAACAACAAAGCAACAAACCAGCAGAGCAACAAAACAACAAAACCATCCAGCAAACCAACCAACCAACGCCAATCGACAACAATGGCAACAAAGGAAGCCACTAAAGCTGGATCAGGAGCTGTGCGCCAAACTGCGAACTGGGTTAAACACTTGGCCGGAGTTTCCACCTGGTCTCCTGCCCTCCAAGCCCTACACCCTACCTCCCAGCCACAGCCCCAGTCCCAATCCTAGCCCATCTCCCTTGACATTTGGCTGGGGCAACTATGTTGCCATTGGCGCGCTGCTTTCGCGGTGAACTCAAGTGGATGTTACCTTGGTCATAATTGAGGCACGCGCTAACCGAAACAAATAACAGGGGGTTCTGGGGCACCCGGGGCAGCAGTGGCAGAAGTGATTGCTGCCCGAGTTAGGAATCCCCATAACCCTTTAAAAGAAGTCTTATACTGTGAGGAAATATTGTGGGAAATAAAACTTGATTTCGTAAAACAATGTAGGTTTAATAGGATATTGATTAGGAAAAGGGGATTTAAAGAATGAATTGCTAAAGAATATCCCAAACTTGTTCCTTCCTAATTGGATTATAGTATAATTTTTATTGAAATCCTAAACCAAAACTATAAAGTTTATTTTACATAAAATATAAAATTTGAAACTTGCTTATAAAATAGACGGTTTTTATAAAATAAAGTTTTTTTAACTTTCAAATTCGAATGTTTATAAAATTTCCCATAAACGCTTTAGTTCTTCGTAATCCTCAAATATATAAAATATAGGGAGTAATTCTAAATATTTGTTTATGTAAACATTTTAGGATACACTTTTTGAATAAAACCCTTTATTTTATTCTATACTCTCATGAGATCATTTTTTTATCGATGGCATGTTATTCGGTACTTCGCCAATTCTCGGCACAGGTTACTTGTCAAGATTTATACTAATATATACATATGTTGTTTAATATAATATTTTTATGAATTATAAATAAGAAACAATCCTAAACTTTTCTAAAAATCGTCAGTTGAATTGTAAAACTTAGAATTCTTTCTTTTTTTAAACTTCAACTTCAATAATCAATATTTTTGCTTAGAATATTTAACCTTAAATATTTTTTCCTGTGTTAAAAATCCTATTAAAGGGCCTGGAAAAGCCCCACCCCTCATATCCAGAGTAAACACGTAACCAACTCATAAGCTAACACAACACATAGGTGGATATGGCATAGCACCAACACTTATTCCGGCAGTTCTACTCACCCAAAGTTAATTTCCGCTTGGGCATCGCATCTGCAACGAAAATGGAATGAATGGAACATGATTTATAATTAATATTAACGCATTTTCGATTCAATAATAAATGAGGCTAATTTATTTACGACACCACCGCCGCAGGACTATCGTCCTTCAGTTTTTGGGGGGCGGTGAGTGTTGGGAGGAAATCATAAGCCATAAGCCCGGCGAGGCAAAAAGTTTCCATTTTGCGAGCTGTCGCAGTCAACGCATTTTAATTCAATTGGAGTTGATTAAAAATTAATTTCAAATTAAATGTGAACTCAATGTGGAGTTGTAGTTAAAAATAGTGAGCCAGAGAAAGCGAAACCACGGGCGGGAAAAAGTGGAGAACTTGGCATTTGACAGACTGTGACATTTTAGCGGAGCTGTGGAGGGAATCGGAAAAGTTGATTGGATGGAAAATTGCGAAACTTGAACCTACAAGACACATATGTGTATGTGGGAGTGTGCGGGCGGATTACCAATACGTAGGCAGGTGAAGCGGAAACGGAAGTTGTTACAAAGTCCGTTGAAATCAATTTTAAAAGTAAACTTGTTACGTGGAAAACCGAAACAAAGAGGAGGTTTGAGGGACCCGTACAAGAAAAGGAAAACTAATTGCAGAGCTCATTTTTCTGTTTTTTTTTTTACTTGTTAATGGGCCTGCAAACGAGCTTCCAGTTGCCTGTTGGCGGCCTCCTTCTATCGATTTCCACTCCCCAGCAAGTGGAATCTGGCCCGGAACACGTAGTGCCCTCACATGCGTTCTGCTTGTGCCATCAAAAAACTTTTCCCCCAATTTTATTTGCCTCATTTTGCTGGCATTGTTGCTGTTTTTGTGGCGCCTGCGAAATCTGCGTGCCACAAGTAACAACGTTTTACAGCTGCAATTAAAGTTAGTGCAACGGGCTTGCCTCCACCTTCAGCCCTCACTCCGCAAACCGCTCTCTTCCTGCACCGCCTAATGCACTGCACTTTAATTAACCCAACACCCGGAGAACAAACCAGGAATTACACCCCACGAGCTCCTTGCGTCCTTCCGCCCCACTAATGGCAATTTATGTGCGATAATTTGCGGTATGAAAAATACAAAAACAAGTGCCACGATCCAGCATAACAATCAACTAAATAGCGAGACTTGCTGCCCCTCAAGTAACATTTAATGTTTGCTTTTTGAAGTATTTTTAGAGAAATTAATGGGGTTCTCTATTACATTTGCTTTTTTAGGTGTAAAAAAATTTAAATTGTTCATTAGAGTCTTTACTCGAATGATCTTAAAGAACTTATAAAGCATTTGAAAGTGCCTAACACAATAGTTCACAATGTGAACTATTTGAAGCATTTTGGGCATTTAGAGCTGAATTTATTATATAAATATATCTAATACAAATATTGAACTATTTTGAAACCGGTGTTGATTGTTATTCATCTATTATCTAGCGTTACCTAGGGCATTTATCTGAAAATCTTAAATAGATTCCCAGAACTGTGGAACTATTGTAGAACTCGAGTTATCATATTCTCGATGTTTATGATATAGTCATGACATACAAAAACTAAGAAATTCTCTCTTTAAGCTAAAGTTTTTGGTGCTAAATAAAGAATAAAGATAAAAAATCACTTCTCAAAAGAAACTCGTACACGAAATTATTTTTGTTCGAGGTTCGAAACTAGACATCAGACTGTTCTTTAGAACCAGAATAATTCCGCTCGATTAGCGTTTCCTAAAATGCAAAACATGTTCACGATTTAATAATTCTACATATCTGCTTACTGTGTTCATATACTGCATTTTATATTATAATAAATTTGTATTTTTTTCTTCACTTTTTTCTGATATTTTTAACGCTGTATGTGCATTTGTCACCAAAGTTATCATACAATGGGACTATGTTTTTAAAACGAGCAGACTCGTCACCTACATGCGAAACCTTCCGAACTGCTTCTATGCTATTATTACTATTATGTTGTATACTATAATGTGTTTATACCTAAAACGTACTATAGAAGTATTTTTTTTTTAAGATGAATATAAAAAGTATCTAAAAATGAGTAGTATCTAGTATCTCTACAGGAGTACCTTAAATTAGCCTTGTTCTCCCCGATCAATTACCCTATATAGTCTTATTCAGATCTCTTTATAAACTTTTCCAAAAATTCCACAGCACAAATCCCCTATTTTGTAATGATAAAGGGGGCATTCATTTGCATGGAAGTCAATTACCCCTGATTGCAAATGGCAATGGCAATTGCAATGGAAACGACGGGATGCGCCCACGCGTTCGGGCAGCCGGCGGCAATCAGCATTATCAAAGGCTTTTAATTGCCATAAATCAGGAAAAGTTGTTAAAAACCCATTTAAAATTGTCACCGTAATAGCGCACTCAGTTGGCTCAGTGGCATTTGCCCGACTATCAGCCACTTTCTTACTTTGGCAGAAGGACACAAGCCCAGACCCGGACCCGCACCCGAACTGGAGCCACCCTTTCTTGGGCAACTTCAGCTGGCAGTTGCGCTTTTCCGTTGCTGCAACTTGATGCCTGGCTGGGAGATGTTAATTAGAAAACTCTGGAAAATTATTAAAAACTTTGCCAAGCTGCCAGACAGACAGCCGGACCAGCAGATAGAAGGGGTGATATTGGAGTTAAGAGAGTTGCGAACTTACTGCAAAATGTTTTATGAAATTTTCCAGATTCCTCCTTTTGATGGCTTTTCAAAAATATCCCTCATCCACCGCCGTGGATGGAAACTTTCTGCGGAAGAGTTGCTGATTGAAAACCCCCACCCCTTCTATTTACATGTTTGGACTTTTATTTTACTTAATTGTGTAATGAATTCCTAATTTCACAATTTGTAACATTTCGTAGTCAATGACACTCAGTCTCTAATGGATCTCTGTTTTTCTGGCTGTGCATCCCACTTAGCACCTTCTATTAGTGCCAATTAAGAGCGATTTCATGCCACTTGTGTCGAGATTACAGATCCGAAACCGCCGTAAACCAGAATGCCTATGTATAGCTTGTGTGTCTGACATTGAATCGGATTGGAGGTCTACGAGGAAACCTAATATCTAGACTTGCGGTTAGTTAGAATCGCGGCCCCCAAGTGCACAGTTCCCGAAATGAAGCCGAAGCAAGCAGTACTAGAGATCTCCAGTCAGTCGGAAAAGCCGCCAGAAAAGTGGGGCAATGGACTGGAGTTCCTCTTCTCCTGCATCTCCCTCTCGGTGGGCCTGGGCAACATCTGGCGATTCCCCTACATAGCCTTCCAGAACGGGGGCGGCACCTTCGTCATTCCGTATCTGATTGCCCTTCTGGTGATTGGGCGTCCTGTCTACTACCTGGAGATATCCCTGGGCCAGTTTGTCGGTAGCGGCGTGGTCAAGGCTTTCGATATGGCTCCCATACTCAAGGGAGTGGCTGCGGGCCAGGTCCTGGCCACGGCTGCCTCCATCACCTACTACTCCAGCATCATGGCCCTGACTCTGCGCTTCCTGCTGGCCTCCTTCGGGGCCGAGCTGCCCTGGAGCCGTTGCTGGGAGAGCTGGGGCAGCGACTGCTACGACGGAGGCTCTAATCGGACCAGCGTGGGCAAGATGTCTCCAGCCCAGCTCTACTTCGAGTGAGTATTTCCAGCCCTAGAAGGTGACTTATTTTTATAAAAATATCCTTTATGTCCTGCAGACGCGAAGTCCTCCACGAGGTGCCCAACATAGACAATGGCCTGGGCATGCCAAATTGGCAGTTGGTGGCCTGCCTGGCGGTGGCCTGGCTCATAATCGGAGGAGTCCTGATCCGGGGCATCAAGAGCAGCGGCAAGGTGGCCTACTTCCTCGGCGTGTTCCCCTACGTGGTCCTGATCATCCTGCTAATCAGAGCCCTAACCCTGCCCGGTGCCATGGACGGGATTGTTTACTTCTTCAAGCCCCAGTGGCGGGAACTTTTCAACCCCTTGGTGTGGTACGCGGCCGTGACCCAGGTGTTCTTCTCGCTGGCCATTTGCTTCGGGACCCTGATCACCTATGCCAGCTACAACAACTTTAACCGGAATGTGTACAAGTAAGTTAAGAAACTAAGAGCTAAGAGATAAAAGTAAAAGGCACAGGAAAGGTACAACTCTGCTAATGACTTCCTGGAAGCCAGTGCCCCGAAAGTGTCCTTGAACCTCCTCCAGAGAAATCAAGCCTCTGCCAAAAATTCTCATCCGCCACCTCATTAACCTCGACTCCCGGAATACTCTCCCCCAGTGACATCGTGATAATCACCACCATGGACTCGTGCTCCTCCATCATCGCCGGGTGCATCACCTTCGGCATTCTGGGGAATCTGGCCCGCGAGACGGGCGTCTCGGACATTGGCAGCGTAGTGAAGGGTGGGGCGGGACTGGCCTTCATCTCCTACCCGGAGGCCATTGCCAAGTTCGAGTTTGTGCCACAGGTAAGGTATCGCGAACTGCGAGCGCCCTGGGCGCCCTAAAGCACAACTACCTAAAGATGTTCGCGGTCCTTTTCTTCCTCATGCTCTTCGTCCTAGGCATCGGCAGCACCGTGGGCATGGGCTCCTGCATCCTGCGCGTCATCCGGGATCAATTCGGACCTCGTTCGCCGCCCATCTGGAAGCTGGCCAGTGGCCTGGCCATTCTCGGCTTCAGCGTGAGCATCGTGTACATGACCCCGGGTGGTCAGTTTATCCTGAATCTGGTGGACTTTTACGGCGTGTCCTTTACCGCCTTGATCCTGGCCATTGGCGAGCTGCTGGCCGTGGCTTGGATTTATGGTAAGAGTTTTAAGAATTTCCTGTTCTTCCATGCCCAACTATGTTTCCAACTCACAGGTGTTCATCGCTTCTGTGCGGACATCAAGCTGATGATGGGCATTGAGACGGGCTGGTACTGGCGCCTTTGCTGGCGGTTCGTCACTCCTGGCCTGATGTTCGCCGTGCTCATCTACATGCTCCTGGACATGTCTGCCCTGACCTACAAGGGAGTGGCCTATCCTGGCCTAGCACACGGTAGGTTTTGTCCCATATGATGGTTATATCCCTAGTCCCCGACATTTATTCACGGATTTCCGTGCTCTATTTCCGCATTTAGCTTTCGGCTGTGTCCTGGCCGCCTTGGGACTCCTCCAACTGCCCGGCTGGGCCTGGTATGCCGTCTACAAGCAGCGTGGCCAACACGGCAGCTTCTGGCAGGTTAGTCTCCCTCCTGCTTCTCCCTGTTTTCAAGTCTGATTCCTGAACTGAACTTTTCCAGAGAGTACGTGCTGCCTGCAAGCCTGGAGACTCCTGGGGACCGGCCAACGTTCAGCTGGATGCCGCCATCTAGAAAATTAGCGTAGTCCCCACACTGCGTATACGTAATGGCCTAAGTCGGGGGCATTATTATTTGATATGGGCCAGGGATGGCCCGAGACGGACTAGCGACGGCCCAGAGAATGGGTGGAGAACAAAGTGTAATATATTAGAAGCCGAAAACATGCTGGCTTATTCCAGCGAAACAGTTTAATAGCCCGAAGGAGCTGGCTGGAAGTTGCAACTCCTGCTGCTGCAAGGACTTTTAATTACCCCGGAGCAGGGGAGCCAGTTGGGCGTGGCAGTTGCACTCTTTAGTTGCCTGAGTGCGTGAGTTTGTTTCTGTGTTTGTGTTTCTGTTTCTGTATTTGTGTTTGTTTTTTGTTTTCGTGTTTGTGTGGCAGTCTGCTTGGCATGTCAGACATGTCAGCAATGCGGAAATGCGCAAATACCTAATGAAAATGCTAGAAAATGAGGTTTCCAATAAGCATAACGACATGGGGATATCCTCCTTTTTAGAGAATATTATTTTTAATCAAGTTATTGCCTTAATTATTAGTTTAACTTTTAACAAAGTCTATTTTTCGGTCTCATAACAACTTGCTTGCCAAGAAACTGCTTTTGGAAATACACATTTTGTTAAAGAAGCTTCCATCTTCTTGATAAAAACAAACATATATAAAAACATGTTATAGACATAAGAACTAGTTTTTTAAGAACAATTTTGTTTTTTTATTTAGATTTTTATTATCTAGATATTTTAAAAACACCCTAGTAATCCTAAAACGAGGCATTGTTAAGGAAAACAAAGTGTAGTTTAGTACTAACAACAAATATTCTTATACAGTTTTTCTTAGATGTAACTTCAGTTTCTATTTTTAGCTTAAAACCCGTTTTAAAAATGACATATTTTGACACACAAATGTTATGTTCTTTAATACAAAACGAGCACATTTTAAAGTTTCAATAAATATTATTTCATAGGCCACAAGCTATATTTTAAAATGACAAGTTTCTAAACAATTAAGATGTTAACTTTTCATCGCAAAATATTTCCAAAAAACCCTTTCACGAGGATAGAGTCAACTGCAATACAGCAATATAGTACAGACCCCAACAAAAAGGTCGACTGGGAAGCAACATAAAGGGGTCCTGAGCGCAGCAGGGAGGGCACTGGCACTCTAAATAAAACATTCGGTTAGCTGCTGTGTTCGACATATTCATTTGGCGGGAATGTTGGCCCAAAAAAAGGGGCGAACGGGGGAGTGGCAGGAGCGAGGGGGTCTTCCAAATCAGAATCGCTGTGGCATGTGACAAAGTTGAAAAGTAAATATGCAAAAGCGCAGAAAAAAAGACAGAGTGCCGGGAATGGGTGGGGGAACAAGGTCTCCAGTCCCCAATTCGCTTTTGACTTTTTTCTCCGTCTGTTGCAGTGGCTCACACACATATGACAGCGCATTTATTTACCACACACACTATCACACTCGCAGGACGAAAAAAAGTGACAGTGTTAAATTTTTGGTTCATCCCCCGCAGCAGCTGAAATTGAAGTGTGTGTTGACTTTGACTGACGTGTCGTTAGTGCCGAAAAAACTGAAGAGCTGGCTAAAGTCCCGATTGCGTGCGCCACGCCTCCTAGGCAAGCCCACCAAGACTACCGCCCACCTAACACCCACATACACGTACTATCCAACACGGCAAACAACTTTCTTTCATTTCTTTCGTGCCTGCCATTGTTGTTTGTGTGGTTGTTGTTCTTGCTGTTGTTGTTGTTCGTTGCTCTAACGATGCGCGTAAATCTTGACATACTTTCACTGCCACAGGACGAGGAGGAGGACCTGGAGACAGGATAGCGGGCGGGCTCTCCAGCTCTCTTTAGGAGAGCTCTCCAGCCGCTCACACATTCCAGCCCATTATTAGTAATGGCCAGACGTCGCATCCGCCAAAAAAGGAGGGCATAGCGAAAAAAGTGTTAAATTATTAAAAATGCAAAACAAGCAAATTTATCCGGAAATAAATGGGGCTTGCACAAGAGAGGCTAATTTATCTTGAGAACGAATTTGTTGCTCAACTTGGCATTTAAAAACAAGTAAGGAAGAATATTGCTGATTGCTGGGTACTCTTCTCTTTGCCTTGAAAAAAAATTAAAAATACAAATATTAAAAAATAAAGTTTTTAGAAAATAGATTCTCAAATCTTATTGCATACTTTTTAATCCTTTAGGGAAACTTCTTGGCCTTTAGGAGAAAGGAGAAGGCAAGAGAAACCAGAGAAAGGATCGGTTCTAAGAAATTGTGATTTTTAAATAGATTTTTTGTATTTCGTTTTTTAAATATTCATTAATTTTTAAAACGATTTGGCATCAAAATTTAAAAAAATTAAACTCTTTTGTACCGTCCGACATATAAAAATATACATTTTAAACCTTTCTTCCTTCAAAGGGAATCCTATTCTTGCGATCCATGGATATAGACTCCATATAGCTATGTATAAGCTATATAGCTATTGTATTTTTAATGAAGACAGTTACTGAACTTTTCCCCAAAACTGAGCTTTTCCCCAAAATTTTCACTTAACTTAATAAATTAGTTTTTAAGTTTTCATTCCATTTCTTCATACAAGAAATTCCAATAAATGTTTTTTTTTTACTAATAACAGTACATTTTTACTTTAAATTAACTTTAAATTAAAGGGCCTATATATACAGTAAAATAAAAAGTTTAAATGAAATCAAAAAACAAAATTTTAAAAAGGTTCCCTCAAGAAAAAATTATCAAAAAGTAGTCTCCATGAAGAGTAGTCTCCATAAATATCTCAAAACCGCCCTAATTTAATCTGTAATTTTTCCTAATAAAAAGGATAATTTAATTTCAAACAAAGCCAAACCGAAAAAGTCCTTTTTTCCTTTTTGGTGACTAAAAAATACTGTTGGTAGCCAAGAAAACTTTTTCAACCGCCCACTCGTAGAATTCAAGTCCCACTTAGGTGACTGACTCCAGCCGGACATGGAAATCTCGACGAGTTGAGGGCTGGCACAGAATCCTCATCAGTCGCAACTCCGCCAGACTACATAACGTCATCATTATTTTCATTATTATAGTGCCCAACATGGGATGCAGGTGGAGCCTGTACCTGGAAGCTATTTTCATGCTCCGAATCCGGATTCCGGCACTAGAGAAGGCAAACACACACACTGCCACACCGAGGTACTTTGGGAGCGCACTCTTGAGTGACGGAAGCAGCTGCCAGCTGGTCTCTCTTGTCAAGGAGTAGAGTATCCTGGCAGGATACCCTCCGATGATTATAAATATGAGAAAGGAGGGGGCAGGGACTTGAAGAATCCGTTCCAACTTGCATGTCTGAGCTGTCAGCAGCGGCAACTAAGCGAATTTATAGCGATAGTTTATTTATGCTTTTTGATTTTTTTGTGCCTGTCTTTTTGCCGGGGAAACAACTTGATTCGATGACTTAAAACGTTTATCGTGTTTATGCCGAGTATCTGTCACAGCATTATGTCCTGGCGAGGGCCACCTGGCGTATACTTAACGTGTGTGCTCCTGGCTCCTGTGCACTTTCCCAGGACACTCCCGGGCGTTGCCAATAAATTGAAATTTAATTGTATCCTACAAGGGTTCGACTCCGGGAAAAAGGGTCTAAAAAAGGGAATTTGTTTCTAATGTTTAACTTTCTGTATGTATTTGGGTTACTGAGGGACAATTACTTAATGAATCGAATCGATACATTTTTGGGGGCCACCTCCTCCACCGCCTTCCCTCGTCAGAGTCTAGACGGCATAATTTTATTTATTCAGGCCACTGAGCGAGGGGGCGGGAAAATTTACTGATTCATCTTGAGGCATTGTCTTGGGTAATTTATGTCATTTACGAGCATTTGCTGCTTATCAAAGTCACAATAAATTAAAATTGAAATGATCTACCCCCGCACACAGTCCTCATCCCCGTCCCCGTCCGCGTCCGTGTCGGGCGAAGCCAATTACGCTTATTACATAATTCAGCAGCTGCCCACGCATCCAACAGATGAGATGAAAATGCCAGGACTGGGGCAGGTTTGGGGCAGAATGCCCCGAGATACAGATAACCTGGCAGGATAAACAGCAACAGCGGCATCAGCAAAAAAAAAAGAATGCGAAAGCTGAAAAAACCGCGGTGGCCACAAGAAGACAAAGCGACTCGGTCTCAGGACTAAGGACTCACGACTCGGGCGGAAGGGAGAAAGGTGAAAAGCTGCGGGGGAGAAAGTCAAGTCAAACAATTAAGAAAGCGCCGGACGATGGACTAAAAGCCTTAAGAGTATGCCTTAGTATTTTTTTCCCCACCCTTTGGCGGAGCCACTCCCACTTGACTAGGGTTGGGTCCTGCATGGTTCTGGTAAGAGCCTGGAAATAGGCTCGAAATTCGAGTTTCATTAGCAGGCGGAAAGGAGTTCGCCTTCCGCCACCTGACAACATAATGCGAATGTCGAAACAATATTTTCCATGTCTGCTAATGTGTGTGTCCTTTTGTGAGTTCTGGTGTGTCTCCTGGTGCGTGAGAGAAAGTGGCGACAAGGTGCAGGGGAAATGTGAAAGCTGCGAGACAGTGAAATCCTATTAAGAAGTTTCTATCGCAAATTAAAATCTAAATACGCAAACAAAATGATGGTGACGTCTGCTCCCCGGGAAGCCAGACAGTCGAAAAAACGAAAAAGCGATGCACTGGCAGAAAATACTATATGTTTCAAAGATAAAAAAAGGCGAAGATAAGGATTTAGCACATTTTCATGATTTAGCACAAAAGGTATAAACATAAAGTAATGAAAAGGTATAATGAACATAAAGTAATGAGTATTGCTGATTTTTACTCAGAGAATAATGATTTTTTTGTGATTTTTAAATAAAAAAACTTATTATAAATAATTACGGTTCCTGGTAAAAATAAATATAATGAAATAAATGACTATTTTCTGAGTTTATAAATGTGGAACACTTAAGAAAAGTTTATAAAACAAAACCTAAATTATTTTTAATTGAGTAAACTTATTTTAAATTGATTGATGAAATGTTTAATACATATTAATTCAATACGCCATAAGTACGATTAAATTTAAATAAACAAAAATAGAGTTAGAGGTATTTCAATATTCATTTAGCTTCAAAGTATTTTTCTGACTAACTAATTTCTCTCAGTGCCTGCCAAAGACGCCAGGACAAAGGTAACCGCTCGCCAAGGCAGACAACCATGGCCACGCCCCGTATTTCCCTTTTATTTTTGCTGTCTGCTTACAGTTTGAATTATAAGCTAGCGAAAATTTAATAAAGCTTCCCCCCACCCCCGAAAAAGGACGCCAAAGGACGACCCGACTAGAGGAGTATTGGTGAGGCAGGACACGCTTGGCAAGGACATGAAACTCCGCCGCAGAAAAAGACTGACTATGACAATGTCAAAGAGTTTCGCTGCACGCAATGTGGGCGTGGCATTTGGCGACTGATGGCAGCCCCGAGGGGA